GGCTGGGGCGCTGGGGTGGGGCCGGGGCGCTGGGGGTGGGTCAGGGTGCCAGGGCGGGGCAGGTGCGCTGGGGGCGTGGTCACGGCCATGGGGGGTGGTCCAATATGGGGCAGCACCAGAGGGCCTGGAATGTGGTCAGGACACTGGGGCGGGGCCGGAGTACTGGGATGTGGTCAGGGCGTTGTCCAATCTGGGGCAGTTTCAGCGTGTCTGGGGCGTGGTCCGGCCGTCGGGGCGGGGCCTTCCCGGGGGCGGGGCTTCACAGTGCAAGGCTTCTGCCAGGCCGGCAGCCAGCACTGGGCCTTGGTGCCCTGGGCCTGGCCTGGCACGGCCTAGTTCTGGGTGCTGACCTGGAGGCCCCGTCCCTGCTCGCAGCCTGCTGATCACTTCGCTCGGACATATCAAGCTGACCGACTTCGGCCTGTCCAAGATCGGACTCATGAACATGGCCACCAACCTCTACGAAGGCCACATCGAGAAGGACGCTCGCGAGTTCATGGACAAGCAGGTGGGCAGCCCCGGTCCTGGGTAGGAGAGAGGGCGCGGGCGCGGCAGGGTGGGAGGGCCCGGAGGAGGAAAGCCCGCGTGTCCCCGCCTCTCAGGAGCCTGTCCCCGGGGGGGGGGCGGCCTCAGTTTCCCTGTCCGGCCTGCTCAGGTGTGCGGGACCCCGGAGTACATCGCGCCCGAGGTGATCTGCCGCCAGGGCTACGGGAAGCCAGTGGACTGGTGGGCCATGGGCGTCATCCTGTACGAGTTCCTAGTGGGCTGCGTGCCTTTCTTCGGAGACACCCCCGAGGAGCTGTTTGGCCAGGTGGTCAGCGGTGCGTCGCCAGGGGCCCTGGCTTGGCGGCCGTTGGGGGAGGGGGTGGCACCCTCACTCCCAGCCTCCTCTCCCTGCCTCCCCTCACTTCCGGCCTCCCACAGATGACATCGTGTGGCCCGACGGGGAGGAGGCGCTGCCGGCCGAGGCGCAGGACCTCATCATGCGCCTGCTGCGTCAGAGCCCCATGGAGCGCCTGGGCACGGGTACTGCGTGCGGCCAAGGGGCGTCCAGGAGAGCGGGCGAGGGTCAGCAGGGGGGGCACAGGGCTCAACAACGTGTCTGCAGGTGGCACCCATGAAGTAAAGCAGCACCCCTTTTTCTGGGCCCTGGACTGGGCCGGGCTTCTGCGGCAGAAAGCTGAGTTTGTGCCCCAGCTCGAAGCAGATGACGACACCAGCTACTTCGACAGTACGTGGGGATGCTTGGGTCCCGGCTCCCCTCAAGCCAAGCCCCTTGCCTGACCTTGGGAGGGGGTCCCAGAAACCCCCATCCTCTCAGGGCAGGGCCCACTGGGGTTTCTCAAGGGGGAACCAAGGCCGGGTGCGGCAGAGCTTGGCTAAGTCCCAGGCCGTCCCACAGGAAGCTGGCAGGGACCCACGGTGTGCCTGTGTGCAAACGTGTCCTGTCCCCCTTCCCACCAAGCGTGAAGCCAGCCTGCTCCATCAGTAGCTCTGTCTGGAATGTTCTGCCTCCCCCCCCAGGCTATCCCCCCCCCACCATGCACCCTGGGTCCTGCTCACCTCAGGGCCTTTGCACTGGCTGCCCAGTTCCCGGAGCCCAGGCTGCCCTGCCTCTCCCCCAACAGCCCGCTCGGAGCGGTACCGGCACCTGGGCTCCGAGGATGAGGAGACCAACGACGAGGAGTCATCCACAGAGATTCCACAGTTCTCATCCTGCTCCCACCGCTTCAGCAAGGTGGGCAGGGCTGGTGTGGCTGGTGCTGGCGTGGCCGGTGCTGGCGTGGCCGGTGCTGGTGTGGCTGGATCTGCCTGGGACTGGCACGGCGGGGCCTGCAGGGCTGGGGCTGGGTGTGGTCTACCTGCCGTGCCTCACAGCAAGGCCTGTGGTTCTCACTGTTCTACAGGAGAGCCCAGCCCCCCCGTCCCCCTTTCCAGTGTTGTACAATCACCACCAAAGGACACCCTGTCCCTCCCAGGCCACCCCTGGCCCTCCATAGCTGCTGCTCCGTGTCCCAGCTCTGTGGGTTCAAGGCCCCTATGTTTCCTGTCCAGTCTCACAGGCCTCTGTGCCTGGCTGCTGCCACTCTGTGCCAGAGCTTTGTTCCTTTTCACGGCTGAGTAATATTCCCCTGTGGGTGTGGACCGAGGTGAGCCCGTGCCGGGCTCCCCAGGGTGACAGCCACCCACTCATCCTGGGAGCTCACCTGAAATGTCTCCTGTGTAACTCGAGCCCCGGCAGTAGGAGGAGCATCCTCAGGGCGGGAAGACCTGTCTGTGGCACCCGGCACCCACACAGGATCCCCTAGGTCCACACAGTGTCTGCTGTGGCTTCAGGCCGCCGTGGTCAGGGCTAGAGGGGAGGCTTGGGGACACCACTAGCAATCCCACGTAAACTGCTCCTTTCCCACCACAGTCTCAGCTTTGCTCTGTTTTTCTGTTTATTTTTATTTTTTTATTTTTTGCTGGTCTTGGGGGTGGAACTCGGGGCCTGGGCGCTGTTCCTGAGCTTTTTCACTCAAGACACAGCTCCAAGTCAGGCTTTTTGTTGATTCATTGAAGGTAAGAGTTTCACGGACTTTCCTGCCTGAGCTGGCTTTGAACCGTGATCCTCAGATCTCAGCCTCCTGAGCAGCTGGGATGCAGGATTGAGCGATGGGTGCCTGGCTGCTCCAGTGTCTTTTGGGCCAGGGTCTCAGGGCAGCCCAGGGTGGCCTGGACCCCACTACCGGCCCGCCTCTCTCCTCCAACGGCTGCTGCCCTAGCCCCTTCCCGCCTCTGCAACCCCCAGGTGTACAGCAGCTCTGAGTTCCTGGCCGTGCAGCCCGGGCCCATGGGCTCTGAGAGGACCTTCAGCGAGGACCACGAGGAGGCCTGGGAGCGCAGCGGCGAAGGGGAGATGGGCCGCCAGGGCCGCCGGCTGAGCGCTGACATCCGGTGAGCACCAGGCCAGGGATGCAGTTTGATGTTGGAGGAGCTTCCTGGTGGCCAGTAGAAAAGGGGGAAACATCTTCAGGCTCCAAACACCCTTTTCCCTTTGGCTACAAACCAGGCAGCCGTGTGCTGTTATACTCTTGTTCACACCATCATTGAATCCCTTTACTAACAAACTCTTACTCAGCCTTCAAAGCCCAGACCCTCCACAGTGTCTGCTAAGTGGGAGTCGAAAGCTGGGTCTTACCGGAGGAATAGGAGTCCCCCCTGCCCCCACGAGCTTGGCCCACGCCGGGGCTGGGGTGACACGGCCGCTGGTCCCCGCAGGCTGAGGTCCTGGACTGGCCCCTCGCAGCCCGAACGCAGCCCCACCCCGGCTGTCCCGGGCACCATCAGCCTGGACACGGTGCCCAAGTTCGCTTTCTCCTCCGAGGATGAGGCGCCAGGCCCAGGCCGTGAGGACCCCAGGAAGCCGGTCTTCATCCTCGGGGAGCCTGACGCCCCTCCGCCCTCCACCCCTGTCCCTCCCAAGCCCTGCAGCCTCTCGGGTAGGTGGGGGAGTGGGGCCGAGTGGGGTCAGTAGGAGTTCTCCAGAGGGGCAGACGTGTTGAGAGAGGCCTCAGCTCCACGGCGGGGTCGGAGCTGAGGCTGGGCCGGAGGGGCGGCTCGGGTCACCTGGGGGCGCCCCCCCACCGGCGCCCCGCTGAC